AGGATGATTCAGCTACTCAACCACTAGATGTCGCTGAAAACAACAAATCCTACACACTGTGCCTTTAAAGTAAAAATAACTAAAGAGAACTGACTGAATGTGACTGTGACTAACTGCTTCCCTCAGATACTGTATGTTTAAATCTGACAGAGGTGACACCTGGAACTAGAGCAGGTTCAAATTTTTAGTGCAACATTTTAAATTAAGTTTTTTTTTTGTGATATTGTCGATATCACATTTTAGTTTTAAACCACAGATACARACAGTAACAGTTGTTCTGGTTTCAACCAAAACCTGAAAACGATTGTAATCTTGTCCAGTCACATCAGTATAATGCAATTGTTAGTGAAGTATGCTATGTGTAATGAAAAGTCTTCCWATATGAGTCAAGGATGTTTAAAAACTGAGTAACAACCTGCATGAAATACTGAAACTGAAACATTTTTAGACAAAGCTTCCTACTTAAGTATTTTTGTACAAGACAAATCAGATCTAGAAAATTCAGGAAGGTGGTTGGAGGTTTTCTGGCCATTGGAAGGAGTCCCAGAGGCAGACCCAGGACCCACAGGAGAGATTATATCCTGTCTGGACTGAGGATGCCTTGGGGGTCCCCCAGGAGGAGCTGGAGAGTGTCTCTGGGGAGAAGGATGTCTGGGTTTACCTCCAGATGGATGAATGGACATTTTATAATTAAGTTGACAAAATGCCAACAATTTGATGTAAAAACTGTAAAAAAAAAAAAACATGACAAAACATTAAAGAAATGGGAAAGCTGCTGCCAGAGGATCAATAAAGGCATACATCAGACAACTTTGAATGGATCTTATGTCMAACACAGAGGTGACCAAAGTGGGGGTCGCGGAACAAATTTGGTCCACCAAACGTCTTGATTTGGCCTTCCAGCAGCTGCACTGGTGTCAGGTTGTAATCTCCTCTCTCCAAGTGAATGGGCTAAAAAAAATAAAAATTTAAAAAGACGTGGGCCACCACACTGGCTGCTAGCTTAATCATAAAAAAACAAAAGAACTAAACAGAAATGGCATTTTCATGTGTTATATTATTGCACTTGACCTGCACTGCATTTTGGCCCTCTTGGAAAAAAGGTTTTGGCCCRGCTGGTCTAATATTTATCAGTTAGAACCTTACAGCCATGCCATCAATCATGGAGCAAGGAGAAAGAAGCAAGTCTGTGTGCAGGCTAAGCTAGTGGCTAGGCAAACATGTGCCCGTTTATATTGTTTTTCAGGCTCATAAAACCTATAAAACAATTCTACTGCTGGTCCTCAGAGCTCATTAATACAATTAGTTTCTACTAATTCCTTCTAAAAGCTGTTATGGCAACACAATAAGCCTTTGAACAGTTAGGTTCTTTCCACAATTTCAGGAATTAAAAAGGTACTTCCCTATCCATGATTATGTAAACATGATTATATAAGAGCTACATGTTTAATGAGCACTGTCTGTTGTGGAAATGTTTCTATTATATTTGGGTCATTTGAACACAGCTGTTTTGGGTTTTTTTATTTTGTGTGTCAGTGATGGTTCATTTCTTCCTGTTCTGTTATCAGACGCAGCAGCTACTTCCTCCTGACCGTAATATTTGTCTTTGCAAAGTCGTTCAATTATTCCCTGAGGCAATAGTTTCATGTTGTGACAAGTTCACTGACTGGAGGTGTGCAGAAACACTTACAGACGTTTGGTGACAGAATTTACCGAACATGATCGTAAACATTTAAGGAAACAAAATCATTGGGTTTTTTTATTTTATTTTGTTGAAGTGAGACATGGCTCAGCAGAAACAAGCCCCAACATGACTCACCACTTAAAGAGAACTAYCGAGTTCTGATGAGGAGAAACATGTTTTCTACAGTGAAATGCTACTAAAATAAAGTTTTCACAATGTGGTGTATAGAATGGACACATTAGTTACTGTAAGTATACAAATGTGATTCTTTCTGTGAAATATTTGTGGTCTTGATTCATTTATGTGAAKTTGTGTGAACTCCCCCAGTAAACATTTGGGAAACTGCTGATGAGAAATCTCGAGTGTGAGACGTGATTCTCATCATGTTCGTGCTGCTTAAACAGTGTTAAACCATCAAAACACCAGATCCCATTAGGGAAACTGCTTCTGGTTTTAGTTTTTCACACACACACACACACACACACACACACA